CCGTTAGAGCCGCTTTGTCCCTTGCCAGGCGCGGATCTCTTGATTATTAATTACTCCGACCACCAAGTGCACCCTACTCCGCTTTCCTCCCCTCGCGGCTATTACCCCATAACAGTCATTTGCATTTCGAAGGATCTTTTTTATTGCGGCTGCAATTTTAAATAAAAAAAAAAACTGTAACAAATGTACGCGTCGGCGGTACTCGTTAATTATCGTCTGAATTTCGTTAGAATTCATCGAATTTTTATCGAGGTACAGTCGGGAAAAAGAGTTAGATTTATCAGCGCGGATACGTAAAAACGATTCTCGAAGATCTCAAAAATAATATGCAATATCGCTGATAAAAATCTATAATATTTCCGCACAATTACTATTAACCAATAAAATTATAATAATAATGTAATTTATAGAAATTCGTAAACATTAATTTTTATTTGTAAGTTTTTCCTGAGAATATCATACATCTATTCTTTATCTATTATTTTTATTCAAATTTAAAAATAATTTTATTGGATTGTTAAAATAATTATATGCAAGATCAATACGAATTGATTGTTGAAATATCAAAAGATTTTGCAACATTATCATGAAGTTTAAGCATGTGTATTTTGATGGCATAATAAATATTTTCAGATTTATATCCGGCCAAATTTTTAAATACTTTAGACGTTCTTTTCGTGTATTCATATGTTATAATTCTAACTGAATTAATCATAACACTACGGGAAACAATAAAGAGAGCATATATATGTAGATATATATATATATATTTTTTTTTAAAGACTAACGGTAGCGGGAGTGACAAAAACTACTTGCACTTATCGAGCAAGAACGTCGGATGTAATTCACGCCTCGCTGCCACGAAAGGGTTGTAATTTTCTTGATATTATTCATGAACGTTATGGCAGGTTGGCTCATGTAATATAATAGCCCTTCACAGTCGTTTTCTCTTTACGTACATTTTTCTCTGTCTTATTCGCCTCATTTCGTATTAAGCCGCTCGATGCGGCACTTTAATATATTTCTCTTATGAAGGGCGAGTTCCCCTAATCGCGTGAGCACGCACTCTCATATCATGTTTATCAAACAAAAAAAAGTTCACAACGTTTTTGATATTATATGAAGGTTTACATGTTTGATAATTCGTGCAATCCAAAATGTTAGTACTTTTCATCCGTATTCTCCTTTCTCACTTTTGTCTTATAATAAATCTTAAACGTTAGTAAGGCTGTCTAAATTTTACTTATAACATTTTGTTATAAAACCTATTTTTATTTTCAAGCATTTTTAAAATATATAGTGTGTAATATTATATTAAGAGTATGCAGAAAAAGAAAAAAAATTTGTCATCGTTAAATTGAGATACATGTAACAAGTAAAAGATGATGTATAAATATAGCTTATTATGATTAAGATATTTTCGATAAATAGAAATATTATTATTTTCCATTTCGGTTCCTATTTTTTATTCTTAGGAATTAACTTTATAAATTTGCAGAATATTTGAATCCAAATCTAATTTCTTCAACAAACATTTTTCTTTTCGTATGCCTACGCATCACGTGTCTTTTTCTTTCTACCGATTTTCTAATGTGCATTACACCCTTATTTCCCTGTCAGTACTCAAACTATACATTCACGCGTCCCATGCACACCATTTGAAGATTCCGTTGGGCATAATCTTTTTCACGGTATAACCGGATCGGGTAACTCGTGCCTTGATTCCGGGGAAAGTATCGTAATTTTCGCGGTATGATTTGCAGCATTACCGAGCAATAATGTCCGGTTAATACGACGGCCTTCGGTAGGGAATTTCACCTCGTGTCTCCCTTCGTGTTCCATAACGTTCGTTTCGTCCCCGTTACACGTATCAACTCCCCAGACTACGGCCTGTTGATATATCTCTGTCTCGCGCGCGTCTAAGGGCGCTTTTACGTTCGCAGGTGCGGTTCAGGTATATGTTTCTGTGACGTGCACATACGTCTGTATATGTGTATATGTGTGCGTGCCATGATACGCGATGATTAGGCACTGAAACTCCACGGGCTATTTGTTAGTATAATAAGCTCCCGGTAGTGTGGCCAACGTAACCACTTGGCGGCACGCCACCTCGTTTTAGCGTAATTGTCCCAGATCGAGATTTACATACGTGAGGAGGGCGAAGAGGGGCACTGGCGAGGGAAGTGAGGAGGGGGAGGGGGGGAGTGAGAAAGTCCTAGGGAGAAATTGCAGAAAGCCCGTGATTGCTTCGGGTGCGCGGTGGCCTCGAAAGCCCAGTCGATCCTTATGCGGGCGAAACTTCGCGCTACAAACGAAAGAACGAAACAGCTGAATACTTGGAACGGATCTTATCGTTCGCCGTTAGAATCTGGAAAACTACCGTGGAACTACGCTATGCTCGCACGTGCTTCCGGCGATCAAGACCGTATCGCGATATCGCGGCTCGCGCGGGCTCGCCGTTTGACATTGGTAGGCCGAACTTAGATCCATTTTGCCGATATTACGTTATGAGAATAACGATCGCCCACGACTGATGTAAATATATCTTGAATAGCCGAGCTCTTTTTCATCGCTGGTCATTACCGATGTGCCGTCTTGATTAAAGTACTTGGAAAAAAGTCCTTGGATTTTGTGGCCGTTTTTTTTTAGCGTTGACGATAATTCTTATGTGCACGGATGTATGTTCGATTAATTCAAAAATATCAATGTTCAGAAATTATTTAATATTTATTTATTGTCGTAATAATTAGCACTTTTACGTTATGTGACTGATTATATTTCAATGATATGATATAAATCTTATCAAATTTATATTCAACGCGGAAATTCTGTGTCACATCAATATACATATTAGTCATTCCTTTTTTTAATAAAGAAAAAAAAACTCGAACTCTTAAAAGATGATTTTTAGAATTGCGAATAAACGAAAATTGTAATAAACGAAAACTGTATCGTTCGCGCGGAATTATTGTACTGACTCATGCTGTAACTTCGCGCGGAATTACTGTACTGACTTGCTCGCTTTCTTTGTACTTTCAGAACGAAATGGAAACGACAAACGATCGTGGGTTTCGAGATTATGGCCGAAAACAATTTCGCCGTAGCCGCCTTTCAGCAGCTTTACAGCAGCGGCGCCGCGACCATACCCGCGCATCCTGCCGCCGGACGCTACTGGCAGTATCCCAGCGCGCACGCGTTACCCACGAACGGATTTTTCTATCAGCAAACGTCAGCGGCGGCGGCGACTCTGCAGAAGCCGCTTCCCTATCGTATATATCCACCCATGATCCTGGCGGGGCCGAGCAATCCCCTCGGCTCCTTGACTGCGAGCTCCAGCCTGTCGACCCTCAGCAACTACTACAGAGACAGTCCGGAAATACCCGACGCCCCCCGTGAGTCCTCGAGGAAGAGGGACAGGAGCAAGAGCCCGGAATCGAGGGACAGGTCGCCGACCAGGAAGCCGACGAGACTGTATCCGTTGCCGATGATGCAGGCGGGTCCTAGCAATCCTCTCGGCACGCTAACGGCGACTTCCAATCTCTCCAACATGAACAGCTACTACAGAGGCAGTCCGGAGCTGATGGAAGGAAGGGAGAGCATGGACAGGTCGAGGAGGCAGGAGAGGAGCAAGAGCCCGGACTCCAGGGACAGGTCACCCCTGAGAAAGGACGTCAGAGCTTATCCCCCGACGATGATCCAGGCGGGCCCTAGCAACCCTCTCGGGTCCCACGCGGCCGGCTCGAATCTACCGAATCTGAATAACTATTACAGAGACAGTCCGGAGATAGTGGACGGGCGAGAAGGTATAAACCGGACGCGACAGCGTGACAGAAGCCAGAGTCAAGAGAGATCGCCCGTGCAAAGGGAGGACAGTCCTCGGAGCGTAAGGGCTGACAGCGATGAGGAGAGCATACACGATATCTAGGACATGGAGATTCCTGGTATCGCCGGCGGTACATCGGCCGGGACGTTGTATGGCCACGACGAGAAGGATGAATTGGAAAACGAAGTGCTATGTGAAACGGAGTGATTTCCTTACGACGGGAACTCACTCGGGAATAAGTGGACGAACGGTCGTCGAAACGGTCGGTGAACGAAGATTCGATTCTCGACAATGAAAAAAATGACACAGAGTTAACCAAGGGAAACGCGATTTGAAAATGCCCTTGCGTGAGCATCCGGCAGCTACTGAAAAAACGTAACGGGCAAGCTTGAAGGGACTGACCGATGCGATAACTCATTACTGAAGAAACTGACGCGGATAATTAAAAGCAAATTCACTTAGCTAGCATTTATCAGTCAATTCCGAACGAGATAACGAAGTCGCTCAAATTTCAGCAGCTATTGCATTAACAGTTTCATAAATAAACAAGTCGGTTCCTGTATGGGGAATTTTTGTCGGGAGATCGATCGATAACATTTATGTAATCCTGGAGAAGGAACGAGCTCTGTATATATATCCTTGAGAACTTGCATCCGATCCATCCGACTCATGCAGCTACCGCGTGAACGCAGAAGAGG